TTAATCTGGCTACTGCCATAAAAGACAATGAAAAGTGTTCTATAAAGCTGCCCTGTGGAAAAGAACCTGGGGATCTTGGTCAAGAGTCAAATGAATAGAAGCCAACACTGTGCTCAGGTGGCCAAGGCAGCCAACAGCACCCTGGCTTCTATCAGAAACAGGGTGGCCAGCAGGAGTAGGGAATTGACTGTCTCCCTGTACTTGGCACTGGTGAGGCCACACCTCAAATACTGTGTTCAGTTTTGGGCCCCTCACTACAAGAAGGACATTGAGGTGCTGGAGCATGCCCAGAGAAGGGCAACAAAACTGGTGCAGGGTCTTATAAGGAACAAGTCTCATGAGGAACCATTTAGGGAACTGGGAGAGTACTTGCCTGGAGAAAAGGAGGCTCAGGGGAGACCTCATTCTCCCCAACTACCTGAAAGGAGGTTGTAGCAAGGTGAGGGTCAATCTGTTCTCCCAAGTAACAAGCAATATGACAAAAGCAAATGACTTCAAATTGCACGGGGGAGGTTTAAGATGGATATTAGGAAAAATTTATTCACAGAAAGGTTGTGAAGCACTGGAACAGGCTGCCCAGGGCAGTGGTGGAGTCCCCATCCATGGAAGTATTGGAAAGATGTGGTGCTGAGGGACATGGTTTAGTGGTGATCTGGCAGTGCTGGGTTAACGATTGGACTTGATCCTTTAAAGGTCTCTTCCAACAAAAACAATTCTATGATTCTATGAAATACATAGGAAAAGGAGCAAGCACTGTTATGTGACTCTAAATCTACAACCTCAGTTTTGGTCTCCCCTTTATATATCCATGCCTTTCAGAAATGATGCTGTGAATTTAGGAAAAGATTCATAGAAGAAAAAAAGCATGAATCAGAAGTACAAAACAGTTTCCAAGTGATAAGACAAGAAATGACCTGAAGTCTTTGGCTTGGAAAAGGAAAGCATAAGGCAGGCAGATGTATACAGAAATTACAAATTGAATGAATTTTTTTTTTTTAAGTTATTTGATTTTTCTGATAGGAAAACATGAAGTTGCAATATTGAATTAAAATGCAAAAGGTTTAAAAAGACAGGATAAACATTATCCTACAAACCTTCCCAAAATTAAGCTCTGAAGGTCATCTTCATGGAAGGATGGCAAAAAAAGATCAGCAAATTCAAGAATTAGACCAATACATGGAAGCAAAGTTCAGGTACAGCTAAACCACGAGGTGCAGAGTCAATCTTTGACCTAGGCCACAAGCCAAGATCACTGGATGGATGCAGCAAAGGAAGTATCACCATATGCTGGTTCCATTTTCGAGGGCTTCCCCACAGCATCTGCTCTTAACTACTGTCAGAGAAAGTAGAGCAGACTAAATGAACTAATAATCTCACCCCAGGCAGCTGTTCCTAAAAAGAACACAGCAATATCCTGTTTAAAATGAAGCCAGCATACGAAACAAGAAAAAAAATCTGAAAGGTGTTTTTGTAAAATAATTTATGATACAAATAATAATATTCTTTCTCACTTCTTATTTTCTAGTAGGATAGGATCAAGCTAAGCAAGAACAGATGCTGAGATTTGCTCACCAGCTTCACAGTGCATTGTGGAGTGCAGAATGTACACAGGAAATTCATAAGCAAATTTTAATTGTGTTGTTCACTGATGACACGCAAAGATAGATTTGATCTTCCAATAAAATCACCACAACTAATGTTATTATAATTGTATTACAATCTTACAATGCAGAATTAGATAATTAATAACTATTTGGCAGTGCACATATGAAGAGGTCTCATTTAAGAGCTTTTGCTTCAAGCCAGCAAGGAGGCACAAAAACCCGTTTCTGCAGCTCAGGTTTAGTGTCTGAACCCCTTCAAAGTTTTTAACCTGTTCATCTTAAAGGCCATGGGTTTAGGTCTTTAGCTGCATACAGACTGAGCAACAAGCAACACAGGGAGCTTCCAAATCAATTGCTTCACATTTCCATTTGCACTTCCAGCAAGGAGGAAAGCTGCTGACAATCCTGCTGTTGAACTTGTTCTGGTGCTTTCTCAGTTTTGTTTCATCTATACACACTTATCTCCCCCCAGACACAGGAAAATTAAGAAACAAAGCCAAGAAAGCAAAGAAGCAGACAGGAGTAGCTGTCTTGATGATGAGGAGTGCCAGTGACATAATCTGCAGAGCCCAGGAAAACTGACAACATAAAAGAGGGTTGGTTTTACATGGTCCCCACAAAGCCAAAATTATCTTGTACATAACCATCAGATATTCCCCACCACTGTTAGCCCTGAAGATAATCCAAGTGTTCAAAATCAACAGGTTTACTGCATGTAGAGAAGGAAATATTGCAAGACAGAAAACACTTTTAGTTACCAAAAGGTTTTGTGTGTTATTTAACTCATGTTACCAATGGCAACACCACCTGATTGTCACCACAGTTGAGATACTCACATTGCAGAAGGTGAGAGACCAGAAGAGCAGCTGTATTGTCACTGCAGGTCAGTCGTTCCTCTGCCAAGTCTCTTTTGATTTGCAATGCAAACAGGTACCTGACAGAGAATTACAGGCACTGGAGTTACAAGTACCACCCTGATATGTGAAAGAGCAATAAAATGACTGAGCAGTACTTTATAAAAACAGCTCCTCCTCATTCTTCCTCTCTCCATAAATGAGGAAACACGGAAGTCTTGCTAACAAGGATGGTCAAATCAATTAACCCATCACTAATCCAGTGCAATTTATCAGCATAAATGAACACACAGGAAGAAGGAAGCAGAAGGAAAACCAGACTTTTAACAAGTTTCATTTGTGAAGTAACAGCAGCTGTAAGTTTTATCTGGAAAGAAACTTAATGAACACTTCAAGTGATTTTATCTATTAGGAAGAAAAAAAAAGAACATCACTGACTCTAATATCTTGTTAGAGAAAAAAATGAGCATTACTGCCAGCACTCAATTCACCCAGTGGTTTTATATTCCAGGACTATAATGTTAGCAGCCTACAAAGATGGTAAGAAGTTAAATTTTCTTTTCTTATACTGCTGCACTTGTATAACTGAACTATTTTCCAATCAGTTGTTAAAGAGGCATAGATTTCTGTTGAATAGTTTTGTGAAAGGAGTAAGGTGCCTGCAAAACATGAAAGGGTAGAAGAAAAATGTGGCAGCCTTGAAAGTATGCTGGTAAGGACCAAATTAGTAACATAAACTGATGATATTTCTATGAGTGTAATATTGGAGTCTTTAGTGCTTTCCTTTTTAATTGAAAGGATGTGCAGTGATGACTCCAGTAAACAGGCAACAACTCATTACTATAAACCTCTGAACTGACAGACTGATCAAGATTCTTTCCTGTATTACATCCTGAAAGAGAACAGTTACATTTTTGTAAAGAAATAATATAAAACCTTTATGTATCACATTCCTGAGATAAAAAGTGAAAATCTATACATTTTGAGTGTTGTTTTTTGAAAAAAATTTAAACACTCTAAGCATGTATTAAAGACTTCTGTAAGGTCTGTTTTCTGCATATCTGACTGAACTATCTTAGTTTCTTTGATACACTCACAGTAAAGTGCACATATCATTAACAGCATTATGAAGTACCTAGATGGTCTAAGCACAGACCACAATACCATAATACTCCACAAACAGGTAAAAATACAGTTCCTGTTGCAAAAAGCTGTATTCCTAATGAAATTCCTACAAGAAACAGCAACTAACATAAGAAAAATGGAAGCAAAGTAAATATTTAGCTAGCATTTAACATTACAAGAGAGACTATAGCATCACATCACAGCAGTTATCATGCTGGTTTGCTCTAAAATAAGCTTCAAGGATAACAAGGAACCACTGTGTATCTCTAAAAGGAATTCCATTTAGAAGTAGTAGTGCTGGGAAATGCACTTTAAAAATGAGCTCTTGAAACACTCAAATCCTGGGTAATGCCCTTGTTACAAGTAAAGCCTTCAAACCATGTTCCCAGGTGCTAGCAAGTGGATAGGTCTGCTTAATTTACCAAAAATCAGTTACTAAACAACAAGTGACCCATGATGAACACTGGTGAAAAACGTATTTGCTAGTGATATGTTAAAATGTAAACTTCAGAAGCTTAATTATAAATCACTTATTAAAATATGTACTGATTACTCTATAGAGGTGTTTATAAATTTTACTATTTTCTCTACACTCTTTTGACACTGTGATATCTGTGCAAGCCATAGCCTACAATGTTTTCTACTTTGAAATATATTTCTTCCAATAACATTCATCTGCTAAAACTGTAACACTAATCAAGAGTCCTTTTTCACACCTCTTCAATAGATTAAATACCCCCCTACTGTTACCTTTCTTTTATTTCAGTAGGTAATGCATATAAAATTCTTTTAAAAATACTTTACCTAGTATATTCCTCTTGCAACTGACCCGGGTCTGGAGGGAAAAACTTTACAGCTAGACGAAGCATCGTGGTCTTTGGTCCTGTAAGAAAAGTTAAGTCATTTCACAAAAAAAACTCTTCTTAAGCACATGCCTATTATGTTTTCCAACTTGCAGAGAAATACAATGCATAAAAAGCCTAGCCAGCTTACTAGAATGGGCCAAGGGCATACAGACTGTTCGTGTCAGTGGAGATAGAGCAGATAGTTTTCAGAGGAACTGTCTGTGCTACTCACAAGGCAATTTTGCAGTCTGAATGCTGTAAAAATAGCTCTGTGCAACATGGAAGCTGTATCACCCCAAAGCAACGACTTGACTGCATACAAAAGCATCATAAGTGACCCAGTGAGAGGTTCCCAGAAGGATGTTGCATCCCACGAGGCTCTCCCAACATGAACTGCCACTATCAGAGCTGTTGAGGAACTGAATTCACCAGTCTGGCCAGACCCAGATTGCTCCCCATGGAGACATTTGCAGCCTGCTCCCAGCATGCCCATTAATATTGAGTCCTTCCAGCTTCCAACAGTGTTCCTGTCAAGCTTCACAACAGGGAGAAAACTAATTCCATGTTTAAATCTACACAGAATTCCAAGCAACGACTTGGAATAACTCACAATGCTCCATGTAACATTTTATAACAAGAAAATCCAACTGTGACCAGCCTGCATTACCAGTTTCAGAATCATTAGCCTGTTGAACCACCTGCACTGATGTCCACAATCCTGCTTTAACAGTATTTTTGGATTAATTACCCTGTAATTTTACTATTACAGGGTACCAAAATTTTTAGTGTGCCATGACTGGGTATTCCTATTCTGCTGCTGGTTTTCCTGCCTTAAAGCAGCAAAGGCTGAGTATTGTCCAGACAACAGCTTATCCACTGCAGCCCCACCCTCCATTTTAATTTTTTTATTAAAAAAATAAAATTGTTTGAGCAAATTGATAAGCAGAAACTAGCCTGCTTAAATTTAAGCACCCCCACCCTCCATTTTAATTTTTTTATTAAAAAAATAAAATTGTTTGAGCAAATTGATAAGCAGAAGCTAGCCTGCTTAAATTTATTTTAAGCACCAAGATCTCTTAGAGCTTGGCAAGTCCAATTTCACCCCATTAACCCCTAATTTATCCTGCACAGAATACCTGATTCCTGTATGCCAATCATTCCTCCACTCACTCACCCCCTCATTTGCCAACGAGGGCCTAACAAACTTTGCTTTCTGCCAAGTAGTTGGGAGAATTAACTCTCAGAGTATCACATCACAGCTGTCAGAAGAGCAGCTCCCAGCCTCTGATCCCAGAATTACCAAAGCTTTGGTGAAACAAAACCAAACCAGAAAAATCTGCATCCCAACTGCAGTGCAATATCTAGCAATGAAAGGAGGCTGGAAACAACACCCTGTTAACAACACACAAAGCTCATGTTTAGCAGAGACTAAAACCATACTAAGGATATTACAGGTCTTGAGACATATCAAGTGAGGAAAATAGTTTTAATGATTTCAGTAAAAAGACCAAAACTTTACAGCAAATTCCTGAAGCTGATGAAATGAGCCTTTGGAAGACCCCCACAGGTTAAGAAGAGACCTGCACATGGCTCATGCCACTCAACTGGGAAGTATTGCTGTGGCAGCAATTTCCACAGTGTTTTGAGCAGCACTGACATCAAATGATGATAAACATTAAAAATTTAAAAACACAACTGCATATTTACTTCTCTAGCACAACTTCTCTTTTTTTTTTTGTTTTGTTTTTTTTTGGTTTTGTTTTTGTTTTTTTTCTTCGTTGTTTTTGTGGGGTTTTGTTGTGATTTTTTTTGTTTTAAATCTCACCTTTCCCCTATGATTAAATTCCATTTTAATTAGAATAAGGAAAAAAAAGAATATAACTTCAGTGAAAATTCTTAAATTGAGAATATAAAAAAAAAAAAATCTTCTATTCCTGCATTTCAGAATAGCTTAGAAAAGTTCAGTCATTTCTTACATGTATGTTTTATTTCTAAACATTCTCAAGGCTTTCTCATTTCAATTTTAAAAAGAGTGGAATACCAGGAAGGGATTCAACTAGCATAAAAAGAAGAAAGAGCTCTCACCCAAGCTATCAAAACTTTATAAATTGAAAATTTATTTCAGAATTTGAACATCTGCCAGACAACTGACAGGTGTCTCCTACAGATTAAGATTTAAATATTTTTTTCAAGCAGGCAAATTTTTAGCACATCCTTGTGGTTTTAAGACAATTTTAGAAACATGTATGTACCATCAGGGTCACACAGCCATTACCTAGAGTCTAAGGCCAAGTCTTCCCCAGTTTATATGGTATAGAAGAGGATACAGAAGGAGCAACTGAGCTATTTTGTAGACCTGTGGTTCACCAGATCTTTTGACTAAGATGTAATTCCTTCCAGCCAGGAGCACTGGAAATACAAATCAAGCCTATCTGCATGGAGTATATAAAAAGATGTCACTCCAGCCACTTTTTGGGGAGGGGTGAGGAGGTAGGGTATTGTGAAACAGTATTATAAACTCTCCTAAGGAAGCCTTTTTCTATAGCTGGTTTGGCTCTTCTGCTTAAAAAACAATGGTGGTAAAAGTTAAAACCATGACCTTAAAGGTAAAAACTATCTAGGATGAATTAGCAATTTCTTATTTTATAGCAATTGGTTTTAGGCAAAAGAGGAAGCAAAAACTATCTCCCAGTACTAATTTTCAACATTTTTCAATGAAAATTTTTAAAAGGAGTAGGAATCCACCACACCCTCCTGATCTTGTTCTTCCACAAATCCTTTACAATCAGAAAACAAGGGAACAACTTAACTCCATTCTGAAAGAAAACAAAGTTTGATCTAATCTTTCAGTATCAGAAGAACTAGCACACTGTTCAATTAATTCCAGTCTTTAGAGTGCACCTCACATCACTTTTTAGAGTATCACAAAGCAAAGACAGCATCACTACTGCAACATCCTCCTGGCAAAAGAGCAGAAACAAATGTCACATCTGAAGCAAAGAGGACTCCAAAGCTGCAGTCACCCCCCAGGTGGGAGACTCCTACCCTACTTCTGCTCTCTTTGGGAAGCTGCTCCTGAGCATGTTGAGATTTTGAGAATGAGAAGGGAACACCTACCCTGCACGTCAGCAAGCTCTGAGTGCAGCTTTCTGCAACCCTTCTGAAAGGCTCATCAGCTCTCAGACAGGCTCTCACAATGGCAGATGCTGCCTCCTCCTCCCATGCAACCAGTGCAATAAGCCAGAATATTCATTTTTCTTGGCATCACAAGACAACACAACTTAAAAAAAACTCACAAAGAGCAAATGTCATGTTCCACTTGAACATAACACCAGCTGATCCAATCTATCTAGATCTTTATCACAAAGAACCATACCTTCAGTAAGTTTCCATTCCACCCACCCCATCCTACATATTAAAAAAAAGTCAGGTTTGCATGCCCAAACAGGAATCCCTATCACCCCCACCAAGTACAATTTTCAGGGAAGTACAACCAGTAAATCAAGTAGTAATTGTGAAAGCAACCCACATAAAGCAGATGCAAATTAAGGAAAACTTCCTTTTTAAAACCTACTTACTCCGTAGTTGTTTAATAACAGGTTTCATAGGTTCCAGCCAAATCTGAAGGGTAGAAAAAAAAATAAAATCAAATTACCCACTGACATCTGAACTTGGATTTGAATACAATACGAAAACATGAAAAGTAAATTCAAATAAAACAGTGTTTTATGAATATGTATTTCTTCCTCACTAAAGAAATGTAGCAACTCCTTTGCTTTAAAAAAAAAAAAGTATATTTATCTGTTTGAATTGACATTTGTCATGCATCAGTAGGGAAGCCAGTGATCCATGCTTAAAGCTCACACAGGCAGCAGGCAAGTCAGCAAAAACACACCACCACTGCCAAGAAGAGAGGAATCATGCCAAAACACATGACTGCAGACATGAGCCAGGCTACAGAATTACAAAAGGTCTGGAGAAGATGACACAGTCCAACTGTTTTTCTCCTTTTATGCTCTGCCCATCTCTCTAGGGTGGTGAGACACTGGCACAGGTTGCCCAGGGAAGTTGTGGCTGCCCCTTCACTGGAGGTGTTCAAGATCAGGTTGGATGGGGCCTTGCACAACTTGAAACAAGATATCTTTAAGGTCCCTTGCAACCCAAACCCTTCTATGATTCTACTTAAGGATCTTTACTCAGTACCAATTTCCCACATTTTTTTCTCTTTTGACAAGCACATTTTTAAAGAAAGACTATTGTTGTTCTCATAAAAGGAATAACCATAAAATTAATGCAAAATATTCTGCATGCTCAACTTCTCCACCCCTCCAAACAAACAAAAAAACCCCATGTAACAAGACAATTATGTTTGGTCCCAGTTTCTCAGAGACACAGCTGAGGATTTTAAAAACCTTATTAAATGGAGAAACACTTTGAAGCTTTGCAGAAGAAACTGAAACTAAACAAGTTTGGCTTGTTTAGAGTAGCATATGGTACTTCCTTGGCTCAAGAGCAGCATGTATTAGTGCTATTACCATTCTCCAGGTTCTCAGTTATATTTTGTGTGTGAGAGTCCTAAAACTAGAAAAAGTAACAGAAAAAAATAACGAAGATACAGTTTTTGCAATATTTTCTAGTTTAGAAGCCACACTGCCCTCTTTGCAAGGTACAGAATAAGCAACTAGGAGGCTTACAGAATGCCAGTATTTATCTAGCTCAATGATTTTAAAAGCTTGCAGGTCTATATGCTTGCTAAATTGTATTTATTAGAAAGAGTTTCATAATGACTTTTCAGGGAAATTAACTGAACATGAACACTACAAAATTACACTTTGCAATATGATTTTATAAGTGGTCCACAGATTACACTTTGAGTTGACGTTTCCCCTTTCAGAAGGGAGGAAAATTTTATGTCCCTGAAAGTGGGAACATCAGCAACTATTTAACTGCTTTATGCATTTTTTGTGATTTAACAAGAAGTAGAATCTGATTCCTCCTCTCTGCTTTAGTAGTTGTCACTGTTCTGGTGAGTGAAGCTGATTTAAAAGATTCAAAGAGATAATCCTACAAAAGACTCCAGCAGACTTTTGCCACTCAAGTAACTACCTTCACCTAGCTCTTCATGACACAAAATTTGTCAGGGAACAGTACATACCCAATATGACTGGATGTTCTGGAACTCAATCCCAAAATAGTCTGATTCCATCAAGTTCAAATGTTTGTAAACTTCAGTCAATAATGTCTGTCCATAACATTTTGACTAAGGAAGTGAAAAAAAAAGAAATACAGTGAGATTAATATGAGTAAGTTTACAGCACATTGAAAAAAATATGACATCTTTTAGAAACTGTAGAAAAATATCTCAAAGACTTTTCACATTATTTTTGTCACTTTAACATGCAAGCATGCAATGTACAGATATGATTCCATACAGACAACTTTCACAGAACCAGAGGAAGTCAGGCTGGAAGGGGTCACTGGAGGTCTCATAGCATCACAGAATGTTTGGGACCTCCACAGGTCATCTAGTCCAACCCTCCTGCAATAAGCAGGGACATCTCCAAATAGGTCAGGTTGCTCAGAGCCCCATCAAGCCTGACCTTGAACGATTGCAGGGATGGGGCTCCACCACCTCTCTCAGCAGCCCATTCCAGTGGTCTATCACCCTTAACTTTCTCCTAACATCTAACCTAAGTCTATCCTTTCCTAGCTCAAAGCCATTCCCCCTCGTCCTGTCACTCCAAACCCTTGTGAATAGTCCCTCCCCTGCTTTCTTGTAGGCCCCTCTCAGGTATTGGAAGATTGTTATAAGGTCGTCCTGGAGCCTCCTCTTCTCCAGGATGAACAACCCCAACTCCCTCAGCCTGTCCTCACAGCAGAGCTGCTCCATCATGAAGAGCCAGGCTGGACATGAGGAAGAAGTTCTTCACCATGAGAGTGGTGAGACCCTGGAATGGGTTGCCCAGGGAGGTGGTTGAGGCCCCATCCCTGGGGGTCTTTAAGGCCAGGCTGGAGGAGGCTCTGGGCAGCCTGATCTAGTGGGAGGTGTCCCTGCTCATGGCAGAGGGGTTGGAACTGGGGGATCCTTGTGGTCCCTTCCAGCCCTGACAGATTCTGATCTGTTTTAGCAGAGGACTTTAGAGCCCTAATGGCTCAATGGTTGGACTTGATGATCTTGGTGGTCCCTTCCAACCTAAAGGATTCTATGATTCTATGATCATTCTTGTGGCTCTTCGCAGAACATGTTCCAACAGTTCCATGTCCTTGTGCTGGGGGCTGCAGAGCTGGACACAGACTCCAGGTGAGGTCTCCCCAGAGCAGAGGGGCAGGATCACCTCTCTCCATCTGCTGGCCACGCTTCTTTTGATGCAGCCCAGGATGTGACTGGCCTTCTGGGCTGCTGCTGCACATTGGTGACTCACGTCCAGCTTCTCATTTAGTAGGACCCCCAAAGTCTTTTTCCAAAGGACTGCTCTCTAGCATGTCCTCTCCCAGCCTATATTGATAATGCTGGTTGCCCTGGCCCAGGTGCAGGACCCTGCAGCACTTGGTCTTGTTAAACCTCATGAGGTCCATCTGAGCCCAGCTGTCCAGCTCCCTCTGGATGACCTCCTGTCATCTAAGCCCAGCCTCCTGCTCAAAGCAGGGTCAGCTAAGAGACCAAACTAGATCAGCTGCAAACTATTTGCAGCTCCTTTAATAAACCAGCAGCATTTGTTTGTGTAGCTGGACAGCGTGGCCCTCCCCCAGCTGCAGGGGACTGAAGGAAGGGCTGCCAAACCCCTGCCTGCATGCACACCCCCTCCCTCATACCAACATCAGGGACCAGCCAGACCTGACAAACACGTGCAGATGCTCTGGGTACAAGGCAGACAAGGAAGTCTGGTGAGGTGCAGTCTGCACCCAGCCAGAACTTCACCCCTAACCTGGGATGCACTGGCCAGCCCTGCAGGAGCTGTGCAAGCAGGACTTCATGAGGCCAGGCTGACTGCTGTCAGGGATCTCACTGACTGAGCAGAGGCTGCTCACTGCAGCACCTCCAAGGCCTTTGCTGCAAGAGCTAGAACTTTGAAAATCTCTAATTTTTTTTCTTACAGTAGTTTTCAAGAACACACTAGGCAATAGTATCTATTCTGCTAATTGAGAAATAAATAGGAAGGCTACTTACTGTTCCCTGCCAAAGAAACCAGTGGGAACCCAAGCATGCTCCTCCTGCATCATATTTACTGTCTAAAGTCATCTGCAATCAATTCCTCCCTCGAGAAACCCACTCAATAGCCCTTTTCACAGGCCAGTTAGGTGCAAAGCCACAGAGTGAACACGGGCAGAAAGCAGCTATGGTAATACAGGAGAAAACAGGAAATTTTCACAGCACACCCAAAACAACTATGCTTGGGTCTGCTTATTAAAACACAGGAGCTTGCTCTCAGCATCTATTATTGCATGACTACAGCAGCCACCACAAGAATAACAACGTTTAGGAACCTACACATCTGTCCACAAAACTAATTCAAAGGGCTTTCACATCCCTCAGTACCTGTTGCAGCAAAGCACTAAAGCTAGCAGGATGGCCACTGTGGGCTGCAGGAGGAGGCAGCATGGCCACCAGCATCCATGTTCTACCTTGCAAGTGGTCCTGCAACTGCAGTGACAGGGTCTGGCATCACTCTGGTTGGCCAGGTGATCCAGCAGAACACCATTCAGGCATTCACACCACCAAGGAGTTGATTATTTGGAAAAGTCAGAAGGCCAGAAGACTCTGCAACTTTCCCCATCGAGGCAAGCACATAGTTCTGCAACTGAGTCTTTAAACTCAGCACAGTGCATCTTCTAAAAGTATTAGGCATTACAATAAATTAGCAATAGAATTAGAGTAATTCAATAAAAATAAAATGGCAGCATCTAACAGAATGAATGGCTACTCCAGGTTAAAATAAAAAGGGTTTAGAATAGTAAAAAAAGATAAAAGATGAAGAAATTGTTTCACATTCCTGAGAGGTATAAAAATTCAAGAATAATTGCTTCTTACAGGAAAAACAGATTAACTGTCAATAATTTTGGAACTTTGCAATTTATCTAAGTACCACTTCAAAAAAACCCCAAAACTTCAGTGAGAAAAAGTAGGACAGCTCTGCAGTACTGCAAATCTGAAGTAGTTTTGGTAATTGCACTGCTGTGAATAGAGCTGACTGAACCCAGTGCTGGAACCCAGGAGGAAAGCAGAGAAACAGAAGGGCAGAGAACACATCACTGGCTGGTTCTTCTCATTCATGCTCTCAGAGGTCTCAGCTATCTAGAAAGGCAACCACAGCTATGAAGCATAAAACAGGCAAATTCACCTGGCACAAACCAAGAAACTGTTGGAATGAATGAAGGATCATGATGGACCAGGCCACTGATGCAGAAACCCCCATATAAAACTACATGTCAGAGGAAATGATCCATCAGGCAAATTCACCTGGCACAAACCAAGGAACTGTTGGAATGAATGATGGATCATGATGGATCAGGCCACTGATGCAGAAACCCCCAAATAAAACTGCATGTCAGAGGAAATGATCCAGTTTTTCACCACTTCAGTAGATATAGGGATGTCTGGCTGGGAGATGATGCAGTAGGGTGAGGAGGAGCACTCTCCCCTTTTTCTGGACAAGTATTGTAAAGTCTAAAATGTGATTTTCTTTGTAAAAACACAGGTGATTTTTTAATTTTTTTTTTTTGCCAAAATCTGTGCTTGCAGAGGACTTTGTAGGTATGGGGTTTGGTTTTTAAAATGATGTCAATGAAATAAGGAATGATACAGGTAATGGTAAGCCACATCTTCAGTAAATAACATTCCAGCTCTTCTGTCTACAGCCACGTTTCCCAGGCATGTTACAGACTGCCTGCCACACACGTGCTCCTGGAAAAAGGTGTTTTGAAACTAAAACTTCATTTCCAAACGAAATGCCTTTCTTAAAACAGCTTCATTTCCAAACGAAATGCCTTTCTTGCTTTGAAACTTGCCAATAAATCTTAAAACACTAGCAGAAGAAAATATCCTTAAATACTGTACGCCCCTTTTTTAAAAAAAAGGTACAGTTACATCTGCATTTATTATTACTGTATGCCTGCTCTTCACAGGCACCACAGATCTGAGGAAGGAAGGAATACTTTTTAGCCAGGAATACTTGTGGGGATACAGCAATACCCTGGCCAGCCTTGTTTGCTTCCACCTGCAGAAGATGGGACACACCAGCTTTGCCTTTTCACAGATCTATTAACTTCCAGAAGCCATTAATCAAGAAATGTCCTGACCTTATATCTCTGATTTCTCATTTGTGAAATAAGCAGTAATTGTGGTTCCAATCACCTTCCATGAGAATTGATAAGCTGAAATTTATCTCGTTTCGTCTCATTTCTTGGCAGCATATAAATTTGATTTACTTTTAAAATAAAAATTGGCTACAAAAGCTTGGAGAGAACACTATCTTTATACTATTATGTCTCAAATGCTGTGGGAAAACTCTTCTTAGAGCTCTTTAGTTCCTCAAGCCATTTGTTACACTTACAACCATCCTTTATAAAAAGCTTCTTGCAGCATTTTGAAGCTGACAAAAATTAAAGCTATATAGTGGGTAGCTCCCTGTCACTGTTTAATCTGAAAAAAAAAGCAGCACAACACAAAATATTTCAGTAATTACTTAATTACTGCAATTTTGACATCAGGGCAAGAAGCTGCATGAATGCATTTCAGAAAGGTCCTGCTTTCAAAACAAATTCACAACATGGCATACTTGCCATTCCAAGCTTCTCCATTACTCTTTATATGCTGCCAAGGCAATGACTACTGACATTACTGAATTACTGAATTATTCCACATAAAAAAAAAGAAAGAAAAAAAAAATCCCACAGGGTGAAAACAAAATTAAATAGGCAGCTTTCCTAGTGACCCAGCTCTAACTTTACTACAGACTACTTTAACAGTATTAAGAGATTGTTCAGTACAACAGTTTTTTTTCCAATCAATTTGTATATTCAGATCAAGATTGAAAAAAATCCCTCAGAGCTGTGTGAGGACCCTGCACTGGCAACACATTTGTGTGGCAACCTCCTGCCTGCAGAAAGGACAACTAACACCTTCCAACCAGGCTCAGTGCTAAACCAGCACTGGACATGTACAGAAATTAATCAAAACATTTTAAGGTGAAGTTTCTTGACTGAAGGAAGTATCTAAATTTTTTTTTATATGGTCAGAAAGTAAATATATTCAATTTTAGC